TTACCACCTGTCTCAGGGGCGTCCCCACCTCTCAGCTGAAGGTCCCAGGTCCCCTGAGACACAGATTTGGGAAGGATTGTGCCTGTGATCGGGGGATGAGCCCACAACCCCCTCCCCTATTCTTGGAGAGCCCATGGAGGTGGCAGGACAGGGAGACTCTCCCATGGGGTCTCGTGTGCAGCAAGGGCTGGGAGGGGCACGAGGACCCCCAAATCCGCCACCCCCAGCCCCTGGGCAGGGGAAAGACTCACGGCAGTGGGGGTGTGTGGCCACCTCTGGCCCCTGGCACCGCTGCCCAGCACAGCTGAGACGGACTCGCCCGCCCCTCCGCCTGCCCCCACCGCTGCTCCTGCGCCTGCTCCTGGTCGTGGTCCTGAGGGGAGACAAGGGGCTATGCGTCAGCTCAGCCCACACTGCTGCCAGGGCGCAGGGCGACCAGCCCCTCTGGGACACACGCGTAGGGGCAGCTGCCAGCAGTCCTGCGTGCCACATGGGCAGGGCCTTCCTCCACGGGGGTCGGGTGGCAGTCTCTCCAGGGAGCAGGTCTGGGAGAGACCCCAGGGACGTGGCTGCTTGCCTACGATACAAATGCCCCTGGCAGGGGGTGAGTCGCAGGGGACAAGGGGATGAGGGGCCGTATGGCTGGGGAGGGGGTCTCCTGGCTCCAAACAGATGACTGGAGAAGGGGAAAAACTGCAGGTGGGCTGGAGGTGCTGGACCAGCTCAGGCCCTTGGGAATGGAGGCTGAGGAGGGAGAGGGGGTGCCCTCATGCAGAGACCATGCCCCCTCCCCATGCAACTCTGCAAGCCCCCCTCCAGCTCAGGCTGCCCCCAGACTCACCAGGTGCAGGGTCCCTCCTCTCCGCACCTTCCCTCAAGGAGGGCACGCAGGGAGAAGCCTTAATTGGGGGCAGTTTGCCCCTTGCCCACCTGTCCGCCTCCAGCATGGCATCTGGTGCTGAGGGCACAAGAGGGCTGTGCATCAGGCTGTGGGGACTGAGCACCACTGTGAGGACGGGGGGTCCCACCATGCAGGGAGGCAGAGGGCAGCAGGGCCATTGCCAGGGGAGACTCCCAGGGAGGGCCAGGGGCAGGGCAGGGGCTGAAGGGCAAGGACATGGCCCAGAGTGAGGAGCCCATGGGTGCCAGTCCTGTTCCCCTTCCCCGGGAATTTGCTGCTGAAGAGCAGGGGGTGACAGCCAGGGCGGGGGGGCACGGAGCTGGGGCTGTGCACATTGGACCTGGGACAGCGTGGGCCTGGCCTGCCAGGGGAGCCCTGCCGGGGGGGGAGGCCACACAGCCCTGAAGCCTCCCCTGCTGCCCAGCCCCCACTGCTCCCATGGGGGCACGTGCCCAGTCTCACCCAGAGTGCCGGGGGCGCAGGTGCATGGGGGGCAGCTTCTCCCGCCGCCGCATCTGCAGAGAAACACGGTCCTGAGCTGAGGGAGGGAAGAGGAGACGCACTGCCGAGAGCAGGGGCGAGGCATGGGGCCGAGAGCTGGGCCCCCGCACGACCTGAGCACCTGCCGGCAACCTGCCGCATCGCCGAAAAGTCCCCGTGACGGGCCTGTGCCGTGTCCCCAGTGCTGCCCTCATGGCGGAGCGAGAAAGGGCACTCACGGCTCCAGCCAGCACACGTGCCCGATGCTCCAACTCCTCCCTACCTATCTACCTAACTACTACCTAAACAGCTAACGAACTGACTAATCAACACACTACCTAAGACACTAACTAATCAACAAACTATCTAAGGAACTAACTAATTAATGAGATAACTAAGTAGCAAACTAAACTTATGAACTAAGCTATCAAACTAAACTAATGTACTAAACTAACAAACTAAACTAATGTACTAAACTAACTCACTAACAAACTAAGTAAGTAACTAACAGCTAAACAACTAAGTCTGGGGACGAGGAAAGACGAGGAGGAGGACAAGGGGCAGCTGGCTCTGGGGGGTCACCAGAGCACTGGGAGGAGCCAGTGACTGACAGGGAGGCTTGGGATTGTGATGTCACCAGGCAGGAGCATCGTGTGGCCACGGCAACCGGGGTCTCCCCCCCATGGGCAAGGTGCTGAGTGCTGGGGCTGTGGGCGCCTTTGCTCTGGCCTGGCCCGGGGGTCTTCCCAGCCCGAGACGACCTTGGACCCTAAACCCTGGGCGCATTCTCCGTGGTTCTCCATGTGGAGCCGGCACAGGGACAGCCCTGGTCCAGGGGGGCCTGGTTAAACAGGAGCCCCTGGGGCCCGATTCTCAGCCCCTCTCTGGTCACATCACTGCCCTGTGGGGTCAGGACACATCCTGGCAGTGCTCTCTGCTGCCCGTAGCAGTGACACATATACGTCCACACATACATGCACACACACACACTCACATCCCCCAGTGACACTCGCGTGCACACACACCGAGCAGTGGCACACACAAATACACCTGCGCCCCTCCCCATCTGCAAATCCAGAGTTACAAAGGCCTCCAAACCCTCCAGCCCTGCTTCTGTAGGAGAGAAAAGGCTCCATTTGCTCAGACTCCTACAGGAGCCCCCACATGATCCCCAGTCAGGGTCTCCTCTTCCCCTGCTCAGATACAACGCAGCTCCCCAGCATGGTGCAGTCACGAGGACTGGACTTTGCTGATGATAGTCCTGCCCCCGCCCCCAGGGAGAGGATGGCATGAGCACGTGCAGGTCGGTGCGGTACGAGGATGTACCTGTAAGGGGCCCGCAGTAGGATGACCCAGTCTGTCCCCCTGATGCCCAAGGGTGAGATTTGTGGTGGTAATTGCCCCTGCAAGCTGTGAGCATGTGAGC